ATATGCATGAGTAAGTATGTAAGTACTTAATTAAGAACATAAATTAGTATCTGTATCTATGAGTAGGTTCGCATGTTCCTAGTGTGAACGAAAGCAAATTAATTCTTATAAAAGTAAGTATGCAAATTAGTAAGAAAATAAGTAAATAAATAAGCAAGTAGATAAGCAAGAACGAAAGCAGGTAAAAATGACTTGTAAGAAAGTAGGCAAGTTAACAGGTAATTAAGAGAGTACTTAAATCAGTCAGTGTTTGAGTTAGTAAATGCGTTACAGTTTATATGCGTAAAGAAAAACAAAGCCCACAAATAAAAATTTACAAAATACCTAAAATTCATGGCTGACTCAGTGTCAAAATCAACGTCTGGAAAACAGTAGGTTTTCTGATTCAGTGGTTTAAAACATCCACACAAGTAATGCAGTAAGTAAATGAATGCGTGAATAAATAAGTATAAATATATGCAAATAATTCATAAGTAAGCATACCATCAAGTGAATAAGTTAGTAAATAGGCATTTATGTAAATAAAAAAGAAAGCAAGTAAACAAGAAAGCATATCACTGAATAAGAAAGTACTTAAGTAATGAACTAATAAGTAAGTAGGTTATTAAATAGCGAATTATGTAACTCAGCAAATCTGTTCATAGCTACAAAAATAAATAATCAAATTGGTGTGTAATCTAATGATTTGGGGTTGTCCAGTTCGGTAAGAGGATAAGTGAACAAAGGCTGTGACAAAGTGATTTACTGAATAATTTAAAAATTAATTGCATTAGTAAATAAAATAGCAGATGAGTGAGAAGTTGCTGGCTGAACAACTGAGTCAGAAGGCAGATGAAGAAGTGAGTACATAAGAACTTACGCAGGTAAATTCGTATGTGGGAAAATAATTAAGTAGGTAATAGTAATGGTCACAGAAGTAAGTAAGTAAATACATAACTAGTTATTTACTCACTGTTAAGTGGAGAAGTTACCTTCTGAGCAAGCGAATGGATAGATTAAATGAATAATTACTCAGTTATTGAATTAAGTGATTAAGTAAATATTTGATATTTTTTCTGATTATCATGGATGGCGGCACTGGAAACAAGAAAAACCTTATTTACGGAAATTCCAACGTTTCAACCGAACTGACATCGCTCATGATCAGGAAATTAGCAAGATTGAAAAACAACCTGATGGGTCAGCTGGTGCTTGACTTGATTAGTCGGTCGTTTGACCGGCCGCCAGTTGAGCAACTAATCATTCTCTGCACCTCGGAAATGTCAATAAGCGTGAATACTCTTGAACAAGGAATTTACCCCAGGTTGCTTCAGTACAGCCCTGTGAGAAACGGCCAGAAAGTCGCTTGCTAACGAATAACAGAGAGCATGGTCACACCAGATTGGAGGAGACGTACTGCCATGCTGTTTGGTACATAGGACTGCGGTTCGCTTTGATCCGTCTTAGGT